CACACACACACACACACACACACACACACACACACACACACACACACGGGAAAGTCCCGTGTACATAAACACAATTACACCAGTTCCTCAAAGCACGGCACATTAAATCACTTTGACTCCTTTAATCAAAGGTATTTGGTCAGTTATCTTAAAACCACCAAGAAAGAAGAAGCATAATGCGACAACACACTTTATAATTGAATCCTGACAATAGTTAAGGCACAATAATCTGTGCTTCAAATGCAAACAGAAAAGAATACATTTGGAACATAATACCAGGTAAATTACAATGACAGCAACTTATTAATATTGTTACTGTTGAAGGTTTGTTGACACCAGTGATGTCAGCAAACAAAGGAACCTGCATTTTTAGCTATGATCAGCTGAGAAAGAAACATACGAAAAAGCAGATTTTACATCTGGATTTATGTATGTGAATATATCTTTATTTTTTATGATAAAAGAATAATTGATTGGGCCTACAAGAGAAAGGCATGTGTCCCCAAATTTGCCACTTTGAGCCACAAACTAAAATGGTTTCCTAACAGAGATTTCCTGTTGGTTGTACACTTAAAAAGCTCCCACCGTAACCTGCTGTTTAATCCTCGAGGAAGCCATTATGCTGCACTTTAGAGTCAACTAAAAGTTGGAGAAAATGTAAAAAAATAAAATGTAAAAAATAAAAAAATCGAGTGCTGCTATAACACTTTAGCACAAACATGAGCTAAAGCAGGCCAGAGACGTGCTATAAACACAGTGGCTCACGTCACATCTTCACAACTTGTTTACTACTTACTCACTAACACAGGGCGCTAATTAATGTGTGTCACTTGTAAGGTTTCAGTGGTGAAGTCTGTAAAGTACATTTAGCCTTTTCTTTTCTCAGGTATAGCAAGATGTATTCCATTTTATTTTTCCAGACAGCCTGAAGGGAGATCTGACAATACTGCAGCACAGTTGTTGGCAGGCAGCACTTACTTCTTATCAATCAGAGCTCTGGTTAAAAACCAGCCACGCTCAAAATATCACACCAACAATGTTTCACTGCTCCTGTTTTCCATTAGTTACGAGCAAACCACACGCAGCTCATCTGAGATGTTTCAATGCTGTTAAACAAATAACACACACACACACACACACACACACACACACACACACAGAGAAAAGTTCAACAGCACAGAGAGCTTTAACTCGTCTTACCGTTTCTTTGTTGGGCAGCAGCTCTTTTCGGATCCTGAAGAAGTTTTTGCCGAACTGTCTCAACCCTTTAATGAAGCGCTTCTGCAATTTTTCACAGAGGAGGAAAGAGAGAGAGAGAGAGAGAGAAAAAGAGGCCAGTTAGTATCTGTGAAGTCAGCTCAACTGTAACCGCATAAAGTTACACGCTCACCCCACGACAAAGGAAAGCATTGCTTTCATTCTGTTAGTCTGTGGTCAGGGAGGTTTGATGTGTGTCTAGAAATCTCTGTCGCCATTTAAACTCAAGCCATGTCAGAGCAAAACATGAGAGGAAATGACAAGTAAGTGGAGAGAAAATACAGTCAAAAAAACATCTGATCTAATGTGAGAGCACGGTTGACAGTGTCCATGTTGAATGTTTTGTGAGTGAATAGTGAAAAGTTTAAAGTCAAAGCCTAAACTTGCGAGTTGTAAAGCAGGAAAATGCCTCACTGTGCATGGTGGTTAGATTTCTATTTTTTAACAGCATAGAAAACATGACACAATTTAAAACCAACAAATATAGCCTCGCGTGAGTGAATGGAGATGAACGGCATGATGACAGAAATTGCTACTTCATAACACCGGATTCAATCTGACGTGAAAACTCAATGTGATCACACCACCTCGCGTCAATGAGCACAAAAACAACAGCAGAAACAGATAAAATACGACAAAAGCTGACCAACCTAGTTGCATTTCCTCTCCTTTAAGAGCCACCGACCGCGAGCCATGAAAAGAGCGGAGGCTGAAAACATTCATAACCAGCGAAGCAGACAACCAGCAGATTTACTTTCTTGTTCCAGAGGCGAGCCCCGCTCCTCAGTGATCTCAGCCAACCGTTTCCACCAAGTAACTCCAGCGAAAAGCGGGGAAAAGTCCTCCGGGAGCACGGCGCGAATCTCCACGTCCACAGGTAAGAAGGACAAATTAAGGGGAAAATCCACAATGTCTCCAACGGTACATTGCCCCTTTTTTTTCTCCTCCTTTTCTTTTACAAGCAAGAAATAGCTTGTCACTCTCTGCTCTTCCACTACAAAGGGGAAGGCTTTACATGTGATCTTTCTGCAAGAGAGCCTCTGGTTCGCAGCAGGCTGGAAAACCCGGAGTGGAGTCCTGAGCTTCATGTGAGGGTCGGACACGACGGCGCACATTTCAGCTCCTTCTGGATCCTCTAACACTGCACAGGCGAGGCTCGTGCCTCTACCTCCACACATGGACAAAGCTAGGACACTGTGAGTAAAACTACACCAAATCTGCCTGATTCATTACAAACAGAAACTACAGCAGTCCTTTAAATGTATTCAGAGCTCACGAGCATGAGCACGAGCACGCACACGCACTCAGAGGCACAAACTCTACTAGCAGCCAGCCTGAGAGGGGAGGCAGGCTGAGAGGATTTGTGTGGACAACGTTCTCGGACATGGTGGAAGGAGACAAGCGAGAGGTAAAACTAGACATGGAGTCTCTCTCCCCAGGGTTGGGAGTTAATTTTCCATGGCATGCACGTTATGTAACCAGAGATTGTTTACACGCTGAGAGTTTTGGTGGGGAACAAACGGCAAATTTACAGAAGCAAAACACTGCTGTTGTTATGGAGGGGGACATTACAGGCGAGAAAGACAGACTTATCTCAACAACAGGAAGGAATGACCATTATCTCCATTACGCAAACAAACTCAATAGTCTCGAGCTTTAGGGTCGAACGGTGTAATTGTGAGGGACACAATGTAAAAGTGTAAGTCTGAGTTAAACCAGACTAAATAGTCCAACGTGGCCCGACCACAAGCTAGATGTGACGGAGCTGACAGCCTCATCAGTGACATGAGACAGCAGTTCATTTGCATTAATCAGACCGAAGGTGTAGCGGTTGATTAGCCAGTAGATGGAGCCGTCTCCAACACGAGCTCTACCCCCCCCCCCAACCCCAACATCCTCCAACCACTGGAGGGGTCCAGAGCAGATTACCGTCTGGACTGTCAGTCAAACTTCCACAGAGCCACACTGACCAGTGAGAACGCCACGGCAGAAAGGATCAACATCACGGGGGGCGATGACAAAACTAGGTCAATATTTACTTGAAATATTAGCTTTGTTTGTGTGCAAGAGTTCAAGGAGGATGCAACAATATTTGAATCATCCTGAAGCAGTTAGTCCCGAGTACGACACATTTCAACAATGTGTCTTTAGCAGCCGTGAGGTTAAAGTGCTGCGTCTCAGCATCAGCAGGAAAGGTGAGTAAGTATTCTCAGAAGAGGGAGGCCTTTGATTTCTTTCACACAGAGGGGCATTCTGCTGACTGAACAGAGTGCGGTTTAGATTGAGATTTACTTCCTCGCAGCGACGGCAGCCCTGCTCAATAACTAGACCTGCCCATGCAGCCTGTGTGTCTGTCCTAATTATGTCACCTTAATTATGTTCCCCAACTGTACTATGTCTGTCCGTCCGCCCGTCTCCACAGAGGAGCCGTGTGCATGCTCCCCCCCCTCTCCCTCCTCCCTTCCGTTTTCTTTCTCTCGCTGGTTCCCTCCTCCCCTCTCTGCACATCGGCTCCAGTTTAAGGCTCCATTTCAGCTGCCTGGGCTCACTGCTCTCCAGCCCGGCTAATAAATCATCCGCCAATCTGCTCCCTGAATCGCTCTGCCCCTGCTCCGATTGCTCCAGCCCTCCGTTGCTAGGCAACACAGCGGTGGAGGAGGGGCTGAGAGTGCGAGAGAGAGAGAGGGAGAGGAAGAGAAGGGAGGGGGCTGGGTGGAAGCGCTACTAAATGGCCATCCGCTGTGCAGAGACAACAGGCTTCTCTCTCCGAGTGTGTTCCAGAGAGCTGGCGCTTTTCACCCGCCCTGAGTTTCCTTTAGGAGACTAACAGTGCGCTATTGTGAGGCCGGAGAGGAGACATATAAAAGGGAGGAGGAGGAGGAGAAGAAGAAGGAAAAAAGGATTCAATGGGCCATTGTTGTGTGTGCGCACTTCCTGCTTGAGAGTCGATTGTAGGGAGTTGTAAAACCGGTTGAGATAATGCAGACATATGCACAAAGATGGTATCGCGATGACCAACGGGTGGCGCAGGTGCACACACACACGGGACATAATTCCTGCTAAATGTCATTCCACGACAACACTGACGCAAGACTGTCCAACAGCAAACAAAGCCACTTCCACTCAATATGGAGTCATTATACTTGACTTGTTGTTAAAAGATGACCTTTCAGAGCCTGCCGTGTATAAACCCGGAGGGCCGAGGACAATCGGCCGGCGAGCCGAAAAACCAAAAGGGAAAAAAAAAAACACACCCTCACACACACTGCTGTCTGCTCTGAAATATCAGTTAGTAATAAGATTGGCCACGGGGTGCAGAGAGGAAATCACAACATGCTAGAAGAAGAGAGGGGGAGACCACAGCGGCAGACACTAGACTACCCACGTCCTCTTTGCACTGACATTACACATAAAGACAAACATCTATGTTGAGAAAAATGTATGCAGACATCAAAGGAGATATATGCACTTTGATAAGAAATCAACAAGACAATACTTTGCATTCACCATATATATAAAAACACAAAGATCTTCTGCCAACTTTCAGCAGGCAGAGTAACGTCCTCTGCTGCTTTGCGCTTGCACCGACACAAAAGGTGACAGGAAATTCCAGCACACACCCATCCTGCTATTTAGTTACGAAACAACTCTAAAAAGCATTGCTGGTGCTGCACCTTAAGAACAAACTGTTGACACTAAATCTCTACCGCTGCGGACGAGAACAGCTGGAGTAAAGCTGCTCATCTAACTTTAATATAATCTGCAGCCTGCAGCGGGGGATGCGAGGCGACATGTCGTGTTTCATCTGCCCGCGGTGGTTTTGGTTGAGCAGTGTGTCTTAGGCCCGTAGGCTTTTGTCCGACCACTGGGGGGCCGCTACTCTCTGCCTCGCCCTCCTCCCTCCCTCCCACCTCTGTGCTGTCTGCGGCCTGCTCCACTCATCCATCAGCTGAAGATACAGCCGGAGATGAGCCACGGCACAGCGCAGCTGGCTGAGGAATAGATCGGCCGCCATAGATCGACCGCCCTGTCTCTGACATGGCGACGCACAGCGAGACTGCTGCTGCTTTACCTTGTTTGTATGGCACCTCCTGTTGGCCGATGCATTATTAGCACCACTTATTTACAATCGGGGATGAATGCAGCTTCATGAGGAGACAATTTCATGATATCGAGTTTGCTTTGATGACCTTCACCCCATCTGCGGGTAGGGAAGGTACAGATGACAGAGTATTTAAATAAATAACTTATCCAATAAAACCTATGTATCTGATACTGTTGAGATTTAGGAAAATTATAGCTTAAGATCGCTGAAGGTGGGACAACAGACAGAACCAATGCACCTAAGGCTAGGTGAGAATTTAAGGTTGAATATTTGCGTGAGATAAAAGATGTAATGTAGTTGTTGTATAAGTATATACATTATATAATTTCCATTTTTTTTATTCCTGTCAAAACTTACAATAAAGAATCTGGGTCGTGGAAACTCAGGTGGATGAGTTAGGGTTAAAATGACATCCCTGTGTATAATATAACTAGTGCTGGGCAAATTAACGCGTTAATTTCGCGTTAACGCCTTAATTAATTAATTAACGCCGACAATTATTTTGTTGGCGTTAACGCATTTTTTAATTTTTATTTTATTTTGAAAGTCCGTTGCTCGCTGGCCGCAGTGGAGGAAGTCTGATGCAGCGTGTGGGAGAAGTATAGTTAGATAAACAAAAGCAAGACAAGCTAACAAAAGCCACAGAGAAGTGGATACAAACTGCAGCAGATTAGTATTGATTAGTATTCGCGTCTGGTGTGAACGCACCTTTAGGATCGCAACAATGACAGCATGTATGAGCCTCAAGAATGAGCTAAGAAAGTTAGCGGAAAGATTAATGTGAGACAACATCCGGTTTCTTCAGACGAAGATCCGGTCTTCAGAATAAGATATTTCAGAATAAGATGAACATTACTTTTATTCACATTAAGTATAAAACTACTAAAATATCGTGAGTTAAAGGGAAAATACACCTAAATTGTGGGTAAAGTCTTTATTCTTTGATCGCTGGGTCACCATCATCACCTCTGAGCTACAGCATTATATTGATGAACAGTAGAGCTGCATTCACATGCTCTGACTGTCATGAAGACAGACATTTTTGCTGAAACGTGCTGAAACATTTTATTCCTGTTGCACAGCAGTGGAACGTTTCACATACAGTCACACACTGAGCACAGATAGTGAAGAGATAGAACTGCTGCTGTGTAAAGACAATACTGCTGTTAAAAAGAACCCGATTTGTTTAAAGTCTTTACAAACCAAATGTTATTGACCTTTTGTTCATATAGCAGTACTTTTAAAATAAAAGTGCGCAATACACTACTTTTGAATTCATTATTGAACTTTGCCATAACAATGCGATTAATCGCAAAAAAATCCATGCGATTAATCGCGATTAAAAATTTGAATCGTTGCCCAGCACTAAATATAACACATTTTACAATTATAGAATGAATTAAAAAGAATGGATTTTTCATAAAACATAAAAGGTAGACAATACGTAACAATAGCGATGCCTGTTTACCGTGTAGTTTTTGGTTTTTCATTGCGGTCTGTTCAACTGATAAATAATCCCAAAAACTTGATCCGCCACTTTAAGGATTCTACAATCTTTGATCCGCAACTTTATTAATAACGTGAAACATGTGCAAGCATTTAACATAAACCATGTACCAGAGTGTCCGCAGTGGCACAGGAGTCCCCTAAAACTGTTCATTTATAATCTCTAAGAGGATTCATTTTAATTATCTAATAAATTGATGATCATATCCTGTCAGCTAATTGTGCTTTCATGCTGTTCAACAAGTGCTTATGTAGACAGGAGAACGTCTCAGAGTTGTAACAGTATTGCTATAATAAAGCATCAGCGGAGAAACATTGAACGGCAACAAACAGAAACAAACTGTCTGCTTTTCACTTCAAGTGCTTTTTGTTCCCGTTTTCAAAGAGTTTATTTTTGCCGCTGAGGAAATCGCACAAAAGGACGGGAAGAGAGTGGGCAGTAAGCACCGAGCTTGCTTCTGGTAAAACACACTTAAAGAAGTGGTGTGATGTGATTACACATCTCAGACTGCAGAAACAACAGAGAGACTATTCCACGTCTGACTGTCTGCCCTCAATAACAGATTACATTCCCCTTTTCTCTGTGATTAAATCAACCACTGCTCTACCCTCAGCAGCTGCAAGTAGGTGAGACACCACGGGAAAGTTTTCTGCTGAAATGGTGCTCGTTTTATATTTAAATCATTTGAGATTTTCCTTTGCTAATCTATATATAATCTATATATAATCTATAGTTATCACTTTACTGATGCACAAAACAGGTTGAGTGGTGCTTACAGCAAGGGGATGGTTTTTCCATTTCTTAAAGTCTCACAGTAAGAAGGGGTCGACTGTAACGCATCTCACTGAAGGAAAAGTCTTTTCTGAGCCGGCGAGAAGACAATCAAATTGAAACAAACACTACTCTGCGTCGTCACTTCCTCCATCACAGTCGTGAAACGTCTTACAAATGACCATGGCGGTGGTCTTATGTCTCTGAGGGAGGTGTGTGGGGGCAAATTATAAATATTTTCCTATAGTTAGGGAGCTGCAACGAGGCTCGGGATTATGTGCTTCATGGCAGCAGCTGCAAACGGAGAGAAGAAGAAGAGAGGTGGAGCGGGGCGAGAGAAGTCAAAGGGGGGGGGGGGGGGGGGGGGGGGTGACAAGTGACCCTGCAGACAGGCTGATTCTGTCATTTCAGCTCCGCCGCTGTCACTTTTATTCACATCTCCAAAGGAATGCAGGGGTGGGGTGAAAAAGGAGCAGGAAAGGATAATGAAGCTCGTCCTGGAGGGGATGAGAGGGACGAGGCAGAAGGGGAAGGGGGTGATGAATAAGTGAAGAGCAGCGGGGCTGGTTTCTGTGAATGTGTCAAGGTTGGAGCTACATTTACACCTGTCCCTCAAGGCTGCGGCGTTGAAAAGGCACAACTGGCGATCACTGGGAGAGATGTGTCCTTGGCCGGCCAGAGTCAAGCTGCTGCTTCTCCGGGCTGTGGGGCAGGTGGAGCACTAACGGCCTGCTGACCGCCTCCACCCGCCGACACGAGACATGTCATTTGTATACATTTGCTATGTTGTGGTAAACAGGCAACACCAATGAATCCACCAGGCCAGCATATCGACAGTGTACACCGTTTGTTGGCCGATAATTGACAAGAAATTCTATCACAGAAATGCTAAACTAGGTTTAAAGTCATTTAGATTGATGTGTATTAGATTTTTCCACACATCGATAGTAAATCATTACAGATGAATAACTCTGTAAAGCAACATTTTTCTCTCATTAAAAAGAGCCAGAAGTGAATTTCTGAAGCAATTGCTTAACTGTCTGAATAGAGTTACAGCTCCTACTGTTGAGCCCCGACTGTGCTTCTTTGACAAGTGGTGTGTGTGTGTTAGACCTCCCATCAACACCCCTGGTCTCGCTCTGATCGTCTTCACACAGCAGTTGAACTTGGCGCCAGCAAGCGAACATAAATGAAGGCGAACTCACAACTAGTCCCCAAAAGGACGGCTGACTTAATTCGTTGTGATTCGCGGCGGTCTTGCCGTGAGCTCTGGCTTTATTCAAATGTGCCCATCATGTTCAATTACCAGACAAATACACCCATTCACTTCCAGTGGATGGGAGAGGCTGATTCAAAGCTCAGCAAAACACTGCCGAGCTTCAGCATTACCAAACAATATCAAAGTGGGGAAAATAAAAGGAAGATTCACAGAGGAGGAAAAACTAACAGAAGACTTTTAGTGGTGGAGCCTTGTGTTTTCCTAAGATCTTCAGTCAGATCAGTCGGTTGTATTATCTTTAAAAGGGAGTGTGTGTGTGTGTGCACAAACATGTAGCGCAGTGTGTCATAAAGCATCGAGGCAAAAGCCGCAGCTCTCGGTTGTTTTGACACGGTGTTATTCCTCCTTCCTACCTGTTCATGTCGTGCCGTTTGATCAGGGAGAAGGGCTGCCATTTTCTGATTCTAGCCATTCAACAGCTGTGGTGAAAATCCACATCTAAATTCAAATGGCGGCTAACATTACCAGCCCTCAATCTTTTTCCCTTTGCAGACTTCCACACTCAGGGTTTATTCTGCGGGTGATAAACAGGATGCAGCTGCTCTTGGCCCTCGGAGGGGCTGGAAACTGACGAGTGTTTTTTTTACTGATGCCTTGTGAGCCCCGTTTTAACTCTCTCTCAACAGCTCCCTCTAAAGACACAAAGCAAGCTCTGACCGACAGCAGGTACCCACACAAGAAACACTGCTATCAACTATACAATACCCTGAAATAACTGAAACCCTAGCTGTTGTGTGCGGCGCCTTGTATCTTTGAAATAATCATTTTCCAAGCAGGATGTCTTTGTTATTGCAGTTCCAAAATGAGAAGCACAGTGCGCTTACCACTTCATCCTCAGACCAGCACTTCTCTATCAGTTTGGGAACGGGCTTCTTCACCAGACGCTGGAGAGCTTTCCCTGCATCGTAGCTGCTCTCGTGAAGCTGAGGACCATCACAACAACATGTCAGCTCATAATTCACACACATACAGTAATTAAATCATTTACTAAGGTGCCACAAGAGGGACATTTTGAGCGGATTTGTATTTCAAAAACAGATTTTTACATGGAAGAGTGGCTGCACCTTGTACTAGATATTTTAGAGCATCAGAGGAAATTCTGTGCAAAGAAACCGAGAGCCCGTCTGGACATAAACAAAACGGCGACAAAGGCAATCGCCGTGCAGCTTTAAGCCCTGTGTCGCATTCGATTGGGTGAAACAGGCAGCGCTGGAGCTCTTCCTCTGAGAATAAACAAGCATTACTCATTGGAATTGCAAATAGAGAGGAAGGTCGAGAGACAACGACCTGCCCGCTATGTTAATTTTCCAGTTTATAGAGTCGGAATATAAATTCCCTGTTTATGATGATTGTAATCTCCTTCTTGTGCTTGATTCCTCGGTATTCATTGTCAATGTGACAGACAAATCTCTCATTACGCCTAATGTATTGTAAACCTCTGAGGGTGGGTTCACCGCGGGGGGGGGGGGGGGGGGGGGGGG